TTTTGTGGTTGCTTCACACTAACTAATAAGTTTAACTTTGTGTTATCTGATTCATATGCCCAAGTTTACCCAAGTTAGTGAGCCTGTGGTCTTCATGTCATTTTTGGTAATTGTATTCAACATTGATATTACTACTGTGGTTTTTGTCGTTGTTGTCGCTGTCTTTCCTGCTGTGATTTTTTTGCTGCTGTTGTCTTGAATGCTCTATTTCTTGTTTTCTGGATTTGAAGGGGATCAACCAAAAAGGCCGCTCCTCTATGTCACAACTTTCTCCTCGGGCGTGGGGCTATCAACAAAGCTATTACAAAAACTTCAGTACGAATTGCCTCCTTGCAACAAAAGAAAAAGTCCATGCGGGAACATGGAACGTCCGCCTTATTTTTGAAACTGGCAAAGCTGCCCAGATTGCAAGCGATGTTATTCAAGTACTGGGAATATGCGAAAGTAGATGGAATGCTAGTGGATTCACCACCTGTGCCTTCAATGAACTAGTAATTGATGACAGCGTATACAAGCACAAGGAGATCCACGAGGCTGTGCCACCTATCCACACAAAATTAAAGAGTGGGAATTATTAGTTTCAATACTCAGTGAATAGAACGCAGTTTGTTGAGTTCATGTCACTGACAATCTAGTGCACTTCTTTTCCGAATTCCCAATCAGTGTTTCTTCAGTAAAATGAGACTTGGACAAGCTCCATAGATTGTGAACTTTTCCCAGTGAAAATGACAACATTTTTCAGAATTACGAGTTGTAATTTTAGCTTGATTGCAACACTCGGCAGTTGTTTTATGACCACTTTATGGACATCAAATATATACAGGAAGTTCATAAGATTTATTGAAAAACATACAATTTTGATTTCACTATGAGGTCTTCATACCAAATATGTTACTGTAAGGGCTTACACAGTTCACAAATTAATTTATAGAACTGAAGTAGAAAAACTTCTATTTGTCCTTGATGAACTTAATATAGAGTCTTGTGAAGTAGTTCCTTTGTGATTAACTTTCTTATGCAGAAGAGAGGAGCAGCGCATTCGTAATTTTTCGCTTTATGTGAAGCTGCAATGCAACCCGATGTGCGTCGGTGGCACAGTGGTTAGGACTCTCACCGACCATGCACATGGTCCGGGGTTCGGTCCCCTGCCGGCCCACACCCGATATCTATGGTCGGCCTGAATTTGGGCTACCGATATCCATGCTGAAAATTCCACACTTGTACTGAAAATACGGTGTAGAATCAAGCTGTAAATCAAAATAAATAAAAAATAAAAATTTATACAAATGCGCTGAGAAATAGTCTTTCATACCTTCTTAACAACTATTTCTTATTCCAGTTAAGATAATAACCTTCCTTCTTGTATGATCTTATGTTATGTTAATGAAATAGAATATTATAGCAATTGAGTCTTCCCCAAAATAAAAGCCACTCAAAAAACAAGTTCAAAACTATGCTACACATAGTACTCATAGCACTAATACTTTGTGTCTTCAAACGAAAAGCAGACTGTAATGAGTAAATGAAAACAGAAGTTGGTGCCTAAATTGTGCTATGAACGACAACGACTACCAGCCAATTAAGACAATGGCGTCTTATTAAATAGACCACACACACTAGCATGGTTTCACAAAAATTCTCAAACCTACCTTTAAATCTTGAAGTTTATACCTAATTTAATCCATCACAACGCGCAGATATCAGTATTAGGGAACTTTTTGTAGTAAAATTTCAGCAAATATTACGCCTTTAAAGTACATTATGCTGCCGAAATCATGAAAGTCAGAAGAGCTTCCTGACGAAAAATTTCATGGACAAAACACATGAAAATATAACTTGTCACTAAACCAACATAGCAAGGGGTATAGACGTTACAGCTGGCCGGAAAATGCAATAAAATCACTCCATGCTATATTCCACAACAATCAGTACTAATTTAAACAGACACTAGAAGCAGTTAGCACCTTGGAATAGGGACAACAAAATGGTCGACCGAAAAGAGGTGCATATTTCAGGACCAACGTTGCAAAATAAATGTGTGAACTTCGCTGATTTTGATTTAACACATGACACGTCAGTGAACTAAATAACAGGAATACTTGACTGAGTGCTTTTGGCTTAACTGGTCTACTTAAACCTATAACGTTAGAACATAATATATGGTGCTGATGAATCTGCATCCAATTCATTTTCTGCACACGAGCTTATTTAACACCTAGGTAATTTTATTATAAAGTAACAATTCAAAAAATACAAGTAATACTGTTAATAACTCTTTAAAAATTTCTCATTACTGTTGTTACGCGCATCAGCAGCCCTTTAAATAATCTTTGGGGAGAATGAAGTGTTAATGACTGAAGGACTGTAGTAAAGACCGCAACCAAATATATAAAGTCTATGCAAAGATTATTATTGTTCTCTTGTGTTCCGAGTGGAACAAAGGTCTTCAACAAGACATCTCCACTTTGTTCTACTCTCTGCCATCTTCATCTAGGCCAACGGTTGACCGTAGTCTCTGATCTCCGCCTCGCTACACGATCTCCTTCATGTCACCCTCGCACCGACGACCCATTCGTCGCCTAAAATTCACATTCCACTTGGTTGATGGCCTTCACAGCTCATGTTCAACTAAATCAAACAATAATTGTGCCTAGGATTATGCCATATAAACTGTTTTAACTTATGCAGAGTGTACTTACGGTCAATATTTCATTATCTTCCCTTGTATATATATTTTGTGTTAGTAAAAAATTTTAAACATGTTTACTCCATGTGTGCATTATTATGATATTGGTGATGCCTGTCAACTGGAGCCCCTCAAGTGCATAAAGTGGGAATATATTATTGTAAGACGCATTTTATTGTTTTATGAGGGAATTGACTTCAAGCTTTATTTATTTTCCCAAGTATACGTAATCCATCAAACGCATACTTGGGTTTTTTTTGTTAATGCGAAGTCAGTATCTCTATATTTGTTGGTGTGTTCCATTGAATCACCAGTTATCCGATTTCCCCCACAAACTAAAGATAAAATGACAACAAACATGTTATTAAACCGTAATCCATGTAATTTAAATATGTAACTTAAATAATTCTTATCCATTCCTATACAACTTGTGTGTCCTATATTTGTATGAATAAATATGTACCCTACTATATTACCATTACTAACTATAGTTACTAATCGTATGTGTAATTTATCGAATTGATGATGCCTGTAAGCTGGCGTCCCTCATGCAAAAAATAATGAGAATATACTATTATTATTATTATTATTATTATGTCATTCGACGGCCTTCTCAGCGTATGTTCAACCCATTTCCACTTTCTCCTACGTAATTGTTGAGTTATCGGCTCTTGGTTGGTTTGTTCATCGTCAGAGTTTCTTGTTACTAATTCTTTCTGGCCAGCTGGCCATTTGGTCTTCAGTTTGAAGCAAGCGAGGCGGGTAGCTGTTGATAAAAGTCTGCAACCTGTTGAAGATCCTTTTCATTACACACAGTGCAAGTTTCTGACCCATACAGAAGGACCGACTTGTCATTGCTGTTGAAAATGCGAATCTTGTACTTTATGCTGGCTGAATGCAAAAGATTTCCAAACTGGTTTCAGGTTGATCATGGAGTATCTTGCCTTTCCGATTCTGGCTGACTGGCTTTCACATCTACATCCGTTCTGCCTGTAGTTGAAACGATGCTTTCTAGATAAGCGAAGGAAGTGGCCTCTTTCAAATCTCTCATGTTGATGGTGATTGCTGCTGGTTGTTGTTCCTGATGCTTTTCGTTGATTATCTTCATCATCTCTGTCTTCTCTATGTTCATCTGCAGTCCTGTATTCACTGACAGCCTCTTCAATTAGTTCGTTGCTTTTCGCCTGCCTACAATTTTTGAGTTTGTGTGACATTACACATATCACCCACACGCGAATTCCAGATCTCATACAGTTTTCTTATCGGTGGTCCAGCATACTCTTATCTCCTCGCCCCCGCGCACAGTCTGACGCACAATCCAGTCCACCACAATCGGGAATATCATCGTTGGTGATAGTAGACAGGTAGCCTTGTCTTACTTTTGTATTCACTTTCAATGCCTAGATGAGTTTCCAGTTGTGGATCACCTGACATGTGTCATTTTCATATAGCTGTTGAATGGGGTTTATGAAGACTTGGGATGATGCACGCAATAGCGTTGAGGTAGTTTGAAAATTACTTCTTGGTCAACACTGACTGGTGAAGACCTTTACGTAGTCGGCGAAGTCGAGGTAGGGAGAATTGCGACTGCCATTATATGCTGTGTTCTGTGGTGACGATGCATAGATTTGCAATTTGATCAGAATATAATTTGACTTTCATGAATTCAGCTTGTTCCAGGCCGGTGGAATTCTGTATCCAGTGCATCCTTTATTCTTACCAGGGTGACTCGAGCTGCAAGTGATGGTCGATTCAAGATTACACAATATCCAATATAGTTTTTACGAGCTAGTATAAACCAATTTGATTTCTTTGTGCTCGCCTCTTGATTGTGAGGTAAAGGTTCCTGATCGTCGTTAAACTTCTGCGTAGTTCGTCCCAGCACTCAACTGTCGTAACTTTGGTTGATTCAAAACGGAGTAGCGCTGGGATTAATTATATGTTGTTTGTATTAGGTGTAGGTGTAGGTGTGTTAAGGCTGTTACTACTGTGAATGGAGTTGATCCTTTCACCAGTTAGTCCTCCAAAATCGTCGTCGAAAGAAAGGCGATAATAATAATAGATTTAATTAGCGTAGGTTATTCAGACTAACAGACAGAAAAATAAATAAAGGAAACGTAAGAACAGACAGCTGATTAAATTTGAAATATATATATACATATATATATATATACCTACATGTTTTGCAGAAATAACTACCACAGCAACCTATATACAAAACAGTGGGAGTTTCCGGAGCAAAAAATTAAAATCGCTTATGTACTGCATTATATATCAAATCCGTATTGGCCTTGAATAAACGTTTTAATTAGTGGTTAAGCAATAGCTTGTCCTTTGCCACACCTTTCAATTCAAATTATTTGGCGCGGAAGGATGGGCTGTTGTGGACAGTCCGATGATATCGGTACATTATTTGGTTTTTCTTGCAATTAAAAATGATGGATAGGAAATATTAGGTTTTTTTTTCTAGGTAGTCACTTACAATGCTATTTAATTTGTAACATCACAATGGGAGGGAATATTGTGTTTTACGGAATTATTATGTGTGTAGTTTTGTGCCACTGAAGTATCTTGTAGCAGAAGATTTTAACCATCGATTTCTAAAAGCCGTGGTGTAGTTTCAAATTATACGAGCTAGATCAGAAGTGGTGTGAAACTTTCAAGTGTGGAATTTTATTTGAATAAGCTTATTCACTAGTGTTCATGCTTGCAAGGGACTGATGCCTCATACTGTGCGTTTTAGACAATATATGTATTGTCGCTTAGCTATTCAGATGGCTCGTCTTCTGTTTTGTTTACTCTTCATCCTTTCAAACAAATCGGGAGAAATTCGGGGATGTTTTGGGGATATTCCTGGGGCATTTGGGGTAGTTGTGGAATTTTAAATCATCTTGAGAAGTTCTGTGGTATTTAGCGAAAAATCTGGTTATGTGTGGTGATCTTAGGGTTTAGGGTAATTTTAATGCGTTTTTCAGAATGCTTTCTAAGTTCTTACATTAACCTCCTTTTTATCACTCAGACAGTTGTCGTCTCGGTTAAACAGTAGGATGTGGTACAAAATATCTAATTATTATTTGCATGTTTATTGTGAGTTATCCGATTCACCCTGTAGAGTCAGGTATATCACTTCTGAAAACCTATAACAAGTCTGACATTGTGACTGGTACTCATGATCCCCATAATGAACCCTTTCCTTCCTAGGGTTCATTATATCAGAGAAAATTAGGGTTTCACAGAACTCTAAGGTGGCTAATAGCACATCGTCAAATAATAAACCCTTCGAGTGCTAACTTAAGCCATGTGAGCTAGTGTGGACTTCTTGGTTTAATTGATTAATACAACCTAAATTGATGATTAGCGGGTTGTAGCAACCTACATAATCCTTTGCGATCTTAAAATTCATGTCATCTCCTTAGTAAACCAGTGTTGTTGTACAATTCAGTTTTCATGTAAGACTTTCGCCATTTACAATTACATCGTATAAAAAGGTGCAGTTTACGGATTATTGCTAGTTTCTGTATGTAAATTCCTGTTGATTTTTAGATATTGCTAAAAGACCACGCCTCACGGGTCCTGTACGCAACAGGTACGTTGCTCATCCTATATTTTATTAGCTCATTGCTAGATTTTTTAATGTAAGGTTTCATAAACACTTAATCGGGTTTTCAGTATAAATTATTTTTTTATCACTTTTGATGATAAAGACGGAATAGCTTTAGTGGACTACCATATAAATCAGGAACGGCTTTTAATAGCTTAACTGATTTCTTACCAAGGGCTATTTGTAAGTTTAGATTGGTGAAGATTCTAGACACATACTTTGTGTTTTGAGTAGTACTAGCATTCGTCTGAAACCCTTTTTGTAGCTAGTTGACTGACCGGTATCAACGTAGAATTTTGCACAGATGTGTAGCAGTTCGAGTTGGCACACTCCATGTCACCCACAAAGCAAGAGAAGATAATAGAAAGAGATTCAAAGTAGAGGTAATAAATTGTAGCTAGTTACATAGTTTACATGGTATACTAATTCAACCCCAGTCACATGGTGATACTTCACAGTGAAGAATCGAGGATTTCCCAAAATCATTATTTGGTAGTCATAAGTGTGGTTACTTCTGTACTAATAGATTTCAGTGGCGTATGTGCCACTAGCCCTTATGGCAATGGTAAATAAACACCATTAGAGGAAGCAAGTGTGGAATAAATGTTAGTACGACATTTATGTCTCGCATATTTTCCTCTTTATGTATAACAATTTTTTGTTCAACTAATTTTTTCTACTTCACAAATGTAATTACCGGTCTAAGATCATGTCATTCTTTTAACAAGTGCCCCATATAAATGCATCTAAATTGAAAGGATTATAATTGTTTGAGGAATGCCTACGTGATAACGTGTAACTAGAGATTTCTGCAAGAAATATAGAACAAACCATAGACGAAATCATGCAGAAAACTAACATCACGTGTATTGATTCGGCTTAAGTTTTAAGGTGATGAGGTTGCATGGACAATGAATAGTTGATTGAAGACGGTATTGGCCAAAATTACTCCTGGAGGTAAATTAAAACTTCATTATTTGATTAAAGCATTGACACGTACTTGTCCTGTTACCATTAGTTGTATGAATTAGTTCACATACAACTGTTTAAACAAATACTTTGTTAGAACAGATAAATTTCCCGAATACATTTTGAAGAATTCACGGTTATGGGGGAAATAGCCTTATAAACGAATGAGTCGATCGTTATCTAATTGGAACGACGCCAACTAGATGTATTTAATTCTGACTAGCTCAAGTTTGTTTAGCTTTACTGAGGTTGTAGTCGTCAGATTTCCCTAACCTGACATATTTTTTCAAGATGACCGCAGTTTCTTCATGCCTTTAGAATCTGTATTAGTGGATTGTACATCACCTTATCAAATATAAATGTTAATTTGTCGACTCTTATTTAATTGCATTATTACTTGCTACAGACTAATCTTAATAAAGTTTTTAATTTTTTAACATTCTGTTTGTTAATTGTCCTATGTTCTAAATCCCTCGGTATTCTAGCTGCAATCGCGTTCTTTTTTCTCGCTAATCTTTGGTAGTTGTACATTTTAATCCTCGAATTTCTAACTTTTAATGGTTTCTCCGGCTCCAAATAATTTGAGCTGTCTAACTTTCATTGTAGTGATTTCAACGTCCTATGTTGAAAGTAGCTGGTAAGATACAGAAAAACTAAGTTCTGTTGTGTCGGTTGGATGACGCTAAGATTAAAAGTAATTACTACCATGGTATATGGTGCAAGTCAGATATTCCGTTTTCCCTCTCGGATGAATTAAAAAGCGATCCCAAGAATTGCATAGCTCTACTCATTTCAGATTAGTCCGAAGTTAGTTGTAGGGTTCTACGTAAAGACGGGCAGAAGTTCTAATGTATTTAAGTAGGTTGCTTCTGATCGACCTCGAGTAGAGCTCATTGGTTATGCCAAAATGTCCTGCTTCTGTCCTCCATAGGTGCGGGGGAAGTTTTTTTACGCTACAAATATAGGATTTGTGTCGCTACTTAATACGTCATGACACAACTTTTAAGTGAACTCTCAGCTCATCCTGTTTTTTGCTTTTATTCTTTGTTTTGCAGGTCATGTACGGATATTCCCTGTTGTGTAGTATTCGCTGTCTTCATTATTGGTTTCTTTGTTGTCACTTTGTGGAGTAAGTTACGTGCCATTCTTTTGAAATATCTATTGGTTGTCTGTCAAATATAACTCGTCTTATCGTTTTTCGTCCTCTTATTAATTGATTTTGTTCCACATTGTTTCAAAGCCTAGCTACTTCGGCTGTTGTAAAACTACATTCGCATATGTGCGAATTGAAACATTCTAATACTGGGTCTTATTATTCAATCTTATCCATATTAGTAAAGGGAATACTCATTAAATGATCGGTAATGTTTCGCACTAATAACAGTTATGAATCTATTAATGATAGTTGTTTTACTACAAGCCTTTTCTTAATACACCAAATTAGATATTACTATCCCTTATAAGGATAATTATTTTAAAAATTATTACAGTTTATGTAATTTAAGGTGTTTTCACCTATCTGCTTTTATTTTCGCTCCTTGCGTTCTGACTGGGACACGTAGTTTCAGGCTTTAAAGTTTCAGTAACAGTTCTGTAAATTTTACTGCATGGAGTTGCTAGCCTCACTCAGTTTTCCCTGTTTTCCAAGATTACTGCCGGCTAGACTAGGCTTAAGGGAGTATATCGTACGGAAGTTGAACTCAAGCCTCCTTCTTAGTTGACGAATGTTCTACCATCGAACACTAACGCACCCCATTACACAGACTTAACTCTTCATTTTAAAATAGCTCGTTATTTGCTCTCTAGGCTTATTTTGTTGATAAATTGCATGTGGTTCTGAATAAGTGCAAATTTTTGATAAATACAAGTAATTTAGAGCTTACAGGGACACCCATTCCCCTCAGGCGATAAACATGTAAGCATTGCTACATGATTTTCAAAATGACTAAGCAAAGGAATGCTGCTGCTGCTGCTGGATTCAACATAGAACTTGGCACCGAAGTGCAGCAGTTCGAGTTGCCACGTTCCAAATAGCACACAAAGGTAGACAAGAAAATGAGTGAAGAGAATCAATAGAATTTAGACAAGTATAAGAGTGAAACAGAATGAGTAATGGTAGAAAGGAATATGAAAGATTACAGAGACTGAATACATCTGCGTAAGCCATTGACAACGATTTTGAGCCATGTCACCTAGTGTCTCCAGCCATTGATTCTTAGAGTCCCGAGGGCCCCAACCCGGAAGTCTGCATCTCCCTACCTGACTCAGTTTAACTGTTAGGGATTTCATGGATTGATGAGGCCATGTTTTTGTTTGGCCACCGCTTACTCTATTCCAACTTGCACCTATATCAGCTAGTAATGCCCGTCGGGGGGGGGGGGGGCGATGGCTAGGCATGCGCAGCACGTGACCTAGCCACCTCAATCTATGTAACTTTATAGCCTCTTCGGTTGATTTTCCCTCTTTGCTAAACACTACGCCTAACGTCAACATTACTTACCTTATTATACCACCTAACGCGAGAAAGAGATCGTAAACATCTGTAGTCAAAAACAGACAATCTCTTCATATCTTCAGCTCTCAATGGCCACGTCTCACCGCCATAGAGAAGGACAGAGCGAACTGCTGAGCAGTATACACGTCCCTTGGTTGATAGCCGGATGTCACGCCTACGCCAGAGACGGTGTAAGTTAGCGAAAGCAGCCCGAGCTTTTTGGATCCTTGCTGAGATTTCGTCACCAATCAATCCGTTGGTGCTGATACAACTTCCCAAATAGGTGAAGTGGTCAACATGTTCTATCACTTCACTCCCTATCACTAAGCTAGGAGTTGACGTAGTCCAGTCCTGTAGCAGCATCTTACATTTTACAGGGGCGAATCGCATGCCAAACATACGAAGATTGCTGCTCAAGGTGTTCAGAAGACTCTGCATTTTGTAAAATTACTTCTACTGAGATGGTTAGGACATGTGCTACGCATGCCTAGTCATCGCCTTCCTCGACGGGCAATGTTAGCTGATATAGGGCCAGGCTGGAAAAGAGCTAGCGGCGGTCAAACCAAAACATGGCACCAATCAATGAAATCCACAACAGTTAGTTTAAGCCACGTAGGAAGATGTAGACTTCCTGGTTGGGGTCCTCGAGATGGTAAAAACCAATGGTTGGAAACAATTGGTGACATGGCTCAAAATCGTTCTCAGTGGCGCAGATGCATCCACTCCCTGTGACTTATGATTTCCAATTAAACTGTTTTGTTCTCCGTTACTACTATTCCTTCGTCTCACACCTCTGTTTACTGTCTATATTATGCATTTCTTCTACTTTCTTCTCTTGCTTTGCGTGCTGCATGGATTGTGGCGACTTGAACTGCCGCACATATGTGCAAAGTTCTATGTCGAAAACCGACCGACCGCATTTTGTCAGCATCCTCCCCTAACAGGACTATGTCGTCTGCATATTCTAAGTCCATAAGACTACTCCCTGGTAAAAAGTCGATTCCTAAGTCGTTAAGTTCAGTTAAGGATACTTCCATTAGCATATCTATGATGAAGTTAAACAGAAAAGGGGAAAGTGGACATCCTTGACGGACACCACTGGTTGTTATCATTTCGGATGACAATTCCCCATAAGCCCTTACATGGCTACGTGAGTTTGAGTAGAGTGCCTTGATTAGTGCAATGTACTTTCTTGGCACTCCCTTCACAGTCAGACATTGCCATAGTACCTCTCGATCCACGGAGTCGAAGGCAGCCTTCAAGTCAAGAAATATGGCAATTGTTGGACGCCTAAAAGTGTGTATATGTTCTAGGATCTGTCAGAGAGTGAAGATATGATCTATGTATCCTCTACCTGGCCTAAAGCCCGCTTGATTTTCCCTCGTTTGAGTCTCCCGAGTGCGGCTTGGTCTATTCATGCTTACAGAGCCTAGGATTTTAGAGACTATGTTCGTCAGGCTGATTCCTCTATGATTATCACATGAGGACTTGTCTCCCTTCTTGAATATTAGTGTAATAAGTGACTTACCCCAGTCTGATGGAACCGTCTCTGATTCCCAGACGTTACCTAGTACCTTAGTCAAGCTATATACTAGTATGTCACCCCCATATTTAAACACCTCCGGAATAATTCCGTCGGGTCCTGCCGCTTTGCCTCGTTTCAAATTACAGATAGTTTTGGTGACCTCATTTACAGATGGCGGGCCAGTGTCTATATCCCATTCGGGTGTGTGCTGGATGGCGGGGAGGCTCAGTGTGGCTGTAGGCAAGTTAAATTGTTCCTCAAAGTGTTCTTTCCAGCGTTCGAGGCGTCTATCCTGAGAGCTAATTAAGGAGCCATTTTTCTCAGAAATAGTCTCACTTATGATTTGCCTTCTCCCACCCGTTTCCCTGATGAGTCTAAAGAGTTGCCTAGTGTTGCTTATCGTCGATGCTTTTTCCATCTCTTTCGCCTTTGTCAACCACCACTGTTCACGGTCCTTGCGGAGACTTTTCGTAAGTTTCCGTTTGTGCAGCTTTCGCTCCTCATTGAATTCGGAGCTCGCCGGAATAAGTCTTCTAGCATCTATCAGTTCGGATGAGGCAGTCAATATCCAGTGGTTTTTACTCACCTTTGGATTTACCTTATTCACAGCTTTTACAGCTGTATCTGTGGCTGACTGAATATTCTTCCAGGCTTCTTCAGGGTGAGCGCAGCTATCTAACTCAGATATGTGTTTAGCCAGTTCTTCCTCAAATAGGGACTTAGTTTCCTGATCGAGATGGGGACGTGATGGGTTTACCGCTAGCTGTTTCCTACGTCCGTTCAGTCGTAAGCATACACGAGCGCGGACCAGTGCGTGATCGGTGTCTACACACGTGTTCCAGAAGGAGCGACAATCTCCTACCGACCCACGCCAACGATAGCTTATTGCTATGTGGTCTATTTGTGTCCAGCGTTGGTTTGACGATGGAGGTCGCCAGGTCAGACAGTGTCTCTCCTTGTGTTTGAAGTTAGTGCTTACAAGAAGCAAGTGATTATCTGAACAGAACTGTAGGAGACGGTCACCGTTGTCAGTTCGCTGGCACGGAATTCCGTATGTGCCACCGACATTCTTCTCAGATTGACACAATTTCCCTACTTGAGCGTTAAAGTCACTAGCTAAAACGACTATATCTGAGCGTTTAGCCTTTCGCAGCAAACTAGACAGCTTTTGGTAGAACTCATCCTTCGTTTCAAGCAAAGGAATACAACGACATTATTATGAACACAAACCAGATAAAAAGAAAAAGAATAGTAACAGAATCTTGAGCAAATAAGCATTCCCTTGAGTCAATCAAGTGTTTAGTTACACTGTATCTAATGACTATGTGAGACAGATGATAAATTATTTGATGAGAGAGTTTGAGTAAATGAGATGTTGTACAGTGGTTATAGGTGTCGCTGGAATCAGTTTTCATGTACGTTTATTTACTCTAAAAGTGAATTCTTGGAGTAAAGATGGGACAAAAGTAAATAGTATAGTTTTTCTTTCACTTGTGAAAAATTACATTTTACGTTGCTATCTAATAGAAGTAGTTTTTGCTAACATTCAGACTAATTCTGTTGTTACTTAGTAGTGAAGTAACGTTTATAGCTGAAAGGAAATCTTATGAATGCATGTTTTGTCTCCTTGAAGTTCAGTGACTTCTGAAGTTTTGATAACTAATCACTGATTGGTTGTCCCACATTGTACTTGGAACGGTTTAAACATTTTTTAAAAATAAAATCTATTGTAAGTATAAACCATCAAAAACCTTATAGCATATGCAACATAATGCAATATTCGTATATTTCGTAATTATAGAAAAATCCCCACTTAGACATTTAGAAAGCAAAAGGACTCAGCGAAGAAATATTTACTTTTCAATTAGATCCTTATCTCTGGCCTTACTTTAATATATATAGCATTTTAATACAATACACAACATTTTACCGATCAAGTGGCAATAAGTTTGTTGCTTACTTCGCCCTCAACGTAAACCTTTTAAAAATTATTACTATCCAAATTACTTTATTATTTTTCCTGACTACTTCATCTTTAACTACATGTTACCATTGTCCAAATCGTTTTATTTTTTCTTCAGTTATCTGTTACGTAGTCAACTTGAACACTCGTTCATTCCTTAATTACTCTTCATTGTTCCAAAATTGCGCATTATGCAATCCATTTGTAGCCATTTCTACCCTTTAATTGTGTGTATTAATTTTCTTCGTTAATTATCACACCCTTGAAATGTTGATACTGGTTAATTATTGTTAACAAGCATATCGCCACTTGATTGGCAAAATGTGTATTGTATTAAAAATGCTATATACATATATATAAGATAAGGATCTAATTGAAAAGTAAATATTTCTTTGCCCAGTTATTTCCTACTTCTAAACTTCTTAATTACTCAGAAATATGTAGGAACTATGACCCAACCTTCAGCTTGTGAGTGTTGTGTTGAAATCCCTGTCTACAAATGCATGCCCAAGCACTTGGTTAGTAAACACAAGCTTGAACACACTAAATTCGGTGTTTGTCCTAATATCTAAAAGGTCATGCAAACAATTAGCAATGTTACCTGACATAGGATGGATCAGGTTGGAAAAAAAACTAGTGACGGTCATATCAAAAGATGACTTCATCATTCAATGAAGTCCATAACAGTTAGTTTAAGCTAGCCACGTAGGAAGGTGTAAACTTCCTGGTTGGGGTCCCCGGGATGGTAAGAACCAATGGCTGAAGACGATTGGTGACATGGTTCAAAATCGTTCTCAATGGCTAGTGCAGATGCATTCACTCTTTATGATTTGTCATATCCGATAAAACTCTATTGTTCTTCCATATTACCATTCTTTTTCCCTCACACTTCTGTGTGCTACATGGAGGGAGAGTGGCAACTCGAACTGCTGCACATCTGGGCAAATTTCTATTTTGAAACCAGTCAGTCAGCACCATATTTTTATTGTGTATATTTATTGTTTTAATCCGAAAATATATCGCATAGTTTAATGATTTAAAGTACCATTATTATCAGTGCATAGCAGATTAGTCATGAAGTTATCCCTGACTTTTTCTTATTAGGTTTCGCTATGGGAGATTATAGACGTGTTGTATATCCTACCAATTCACAAGGACAAATATGCGGCCGCGATGTTCCGTACGTTTAGTATATATCATTTCTCTAAGTTTTCGTTTGTTCAACAATATCAGATTATCATTTGAGGTGTGTTTGTGTTTGGAATATGCATGGATAATAATTGTCTCTATATAACTCAGATGAAATTTCCGACGAAATTGTGTGGAAATGAAATGGTTGATGACGACAGTGCTTGCCCAAGTTAATCTGCATTTACATTCAAGTTTCATTAGATTCACATACTAAGTATGTAATTTGGATAAATTGTAGCGCACACATGTGATTACAAGTGGTGTATATTATCTTTATTATTCCCTTGGTTTCCGAGTAGAATGTAGGGTTTCATCAGCACATCTCCATTTCACCCCGTTCTCTGCAATCTTTCTTAACTGGTTCTACACATTTCCTTACACTTTCATTTCCTCCTCGCACTACGCTTTCCATGTCACCCTCGGACGCCCAACCTGTCGTTTCTCGACAACCTGATATGTAATGTTACTCAACAGTCTTCTCAGCGAGTGTCTCATCCATCATCTCCATTTCCTTGTGCATATTTTTGGGCCATCCGTAGGTTCTTGGTTGGTTTGTTCCCGGAGTTCCTTGTTGATAATCCTTTCTGGCCATCTGATCTTCAGTATCGAGAAAGTGAAGGCAGCTGTTGATGAAAGTCAACAGCTTGTTGGAAATCTGTCTGTCTGTTTTCGACATAGAACTTTGTACCGATGTTCAGCACTGATTTGGTGATGGAGGTTGCCAGGATAAGTAGTGTCTCTCTTTGTGCCTAAAGTTAAGGCTGACTAGGAACAGATGATTATCTGAGCAGAACTGTAGAAGACGACCACCGTTGTCGGTTCGCCGGCAGGGAACTCCATACGTACCGCCTACATACTTCTCAGTCTGGCACAACTTTCCTACTTGAGCATTGAAGTCGCCTGCTAAAACAACTATAATATCTGAACGTTTTGCTTTTTGCAGCAAATTAGAAATCATCCGAACTGCAATATGTTGGGGCGTAAGCGGAGACTACGAAAAGACAACGATGGGTAACGCCATTCTTCCTTCTTCTAACGGACCCGTTCAGACGGACCGCACACATACGACTATCTACTGGGATCCAGTCAAGAAGTGATTTTTCTGCCCTAACACTCAAAGCTATCCCTACACCTGCGAGTCCTCGCGAGCTAGCTGAGGGGTCTCCTGACACTCTTAAAGTGAATTTTGCAGATTCACCTTGTTGGCCCGGTGATGTTAAGTGAATGACCACACTCGGGTCTTGTATGCGTGTCTCCGAAACACACCATACATCCATGACTCGAGATGCCAGAGTTCTTGCTAGTGATGCCTGTTGTCCGATTTGGCAGAGGGTCCTGACGTTGGAAGCTCCAATATGAAGTTGGTGACGTGGCTTTAAGAGGCTATCGGGGGTGTTTCTATGGCTCTCATCGTTGTTTGTGGTCACAGAGTGAAATGAAGATGACTCACTAGCCTGAAGAATAGTACTAACTGTAGTAGGGGAATAAGATGATGAAAGTGATGTGGGTAAAGGATAATGATGCTCAGGAAGGCTTCGTGTGCTCTTGGAAGTGTGTGGGCGGTTGTTACTTCCCAGCTGCCCACACCGTGGAAGTTGGTTGAATCTTTGGGTACCTGAGACAGAAAGGGGGTTAATGTTGAGTGACCGCAGAGCCCAGGGGACAACTGCTTGAGACTGGTCACACAGGGCCTGTATGAACTGGTTTGTTGGTTTGGTTCCGTATTAGTAAACTTACCGCCGGTTACGGACCACCGTAGGGTAAGTCGTGATGTACACTTTTCGGGGTCAACCTTTTCTAACCCTCGCTCTCCAGAGTGGAGAGACAGCATAGCTGGCATGCTGGTCATCTGAGGGAAACACCTCACTGCCGTTACATCCCTATTCCCCAGCAGTACAACTTCTCCCACAGACCCCCAGCTTAGTGTAAAAACAAAATTCTTACACTATGCCGGTAACTGCTTTTAGTCTAACCGCTATCCTAACAACCTTCCTGGCATGGTAGGACCTGCAGGAACAAGCCAGTGTTGGGTCATTGCGGTGTGCAAGCCCGACCACCACGTCAAGGTAGCAGCTATCGGTCAGGTTGGAAATGCCCTGGGTGACATTTGCGCCAAGTCTCTGAACCATATAAATGCACTGACCTGACATTGGTGTTGAAGATATGGATGGATCTTGTTCCTTACGCTGAGTGCAGCAAATTTCTACACTGATTTCAGAGTAACAGATACTTGTCTTTCCTTTCGGATCCTTTCTTTGACATCCTCATCTTTGCCGCCAGTATTTGAAACAATGCTACCTAGTTAAGTGAAAAAAAGTAACTTCCCTTAGATTTCTCCTGTTGATGGTGATTGATTCTCGTTGTTGTCGTTGTTAGTTAGGCATCTTCATCACTTTTGTTTTCTCTATACTCATTTGAAGTCTTATCTCCACTGCCTCTTATGTTAACATACAAGTGCTAGCAAATCATTAATTAGTTGTTACTTTTGAAAATATTTCAAAGTAAATTCTTTTGTAACTATTATTATGTATATTCAACTAGTCTATCTGTTATGTCTGTTGTCTTTCACTTGGTTGTTCTTTTTTGTTTTTCATAAAAAAAATTGTCTGTTGAGAATATAAAGTCGGCTTTACTTAACTGTGTAGCACGACTGTTCGATTTTTATGTTACATATGCATAATTAAAGATGCACACTGGTGCCTGTTTATATTTAGATTTAATGATTAATGATAATTTTGCTTTAAGTGCTTGTCTAAGGAATGTGCAGAAAAGAGCTTATGCGTTCAGTAAACAAAATAATTGTTCACTTATTGTATCTCTAAGCACCACTGGACTATTATAGATTAATAGGATTGTTTTGCTTACCAATTCAATTACCCAGTTTTCGTATCTTCATTTCATATCATCTTCATTCACAGCTTTTCTGGCATAGACCATTAAACTTTCAAACAGTGTGGGTTTAAGGTTGAAATTGAGCCACGTCGGTAGGTTAATATTCACAGTCGTGACACATTGGATTTCTTTGATAATAGGTGTCTGCGTTCTATCTCCCGCGTGAAATGGTATCATAAGGTGAGTAATATTGAGGTTAGGCGTCGAGTGCTAGGTAAGGCGGGGAAATCAATCGACGAAACGGTGAAATTACTTCGACTGAGATGGTTAGGACATGTGTTACGTATGCCTAGTCATCGCCTTCCTCGACAACAGGGAATGCTAGCTAACATAGGGTCAGGCTGGAAAAGAGCTAGCGGCAGTCGAACCAAAACATGGCACCAGTCAATGAAATCTACAACAATTAGTCTAAGCCACGTAGGAAGGTGTAGACTTCCTGGTTGGGGTCCTCGGGACGGTAAAAACCAATGGTTGTAAACAATTGGTGATATGGCTCAAAATCGTTCTCAATGGCTGGTGCAGATGCATCCACTCCTTGTGACTTATGATTTCCAATTAAACTGTTTTGTTCTCCGTTATTACTATTCCTTTGTCTCACACCTCTGTTTACTGTCTATATTATTATGCATTTCTCCTAATTTCTTCTCTTGCTTTGTGTGCTACATGGAGTGTGGTGACTTGAACTGCCGCACATATGTGCAAAGTTCTCTGTCGAAAACAGACAGACAGGCAGACAGATTGGATTTCTTAGTTCATTGCAAATTGTGTACTGGTCAGCTGTTCTTGTCGTAGCTTAGTTCACCTACAGAATATTCTTTCTGGACTGAGTCATGGAGTAAACCTGGTTAATGTGAATGAAATCGATAAATTACGTCTTCGTATTGCTTTGTCTAAATACAATAGTGTTTTTGTCAAATGTTATTCATACTGAAGTATTTGTTGAATCGTGATCGAATTCCAGTGTACAAAGTTCAGCTTCTTCCCCCAGTTATATGGGAGTTGTAAAGTATGGCGTGGAAGGGTAACGTTGTTTTCTTTTAAATGCCGAAACCACTTTCCTTCTGATAAGCAGGCCAAATAAGTTAATTAATGCGTTCTTAGCATGAATCCTCATTCTAACTGATTGTGTAAAGAGAAATTTTGAAAAAAATTGCCATCTCATTATGTTTAAGTGTAATACGTACGTATTTTTTACGAAGGGGTTTATGTGCATATTTGAAAAATAATGCCTGCCTGAGTGCAAGTGCATTTGTACTTATGTACTCGTGTGTGTGTGTGTGTGTGTGTGTGTGTGTGTGTGTGTGTGTGTGTGTGTAAATAATCTAAATTACTGAATTGTTACTTTTTGATATGTGGTCATATTCAGTATTGTCCGCTATACATTTTGCATGTCAGAGTTTCGAATAATTGAGTGCTTAATGTTTCACATCTACTGACTTACTAGTCATACTGCTATTCCATATATATTAGATCATGGCAATCTGTAATTACCCTACTCTGTCAATAAGAATTGGTCTTAAAAATAAGGATGCTATGAACACAGATTATCATAACAATATGTTTGTTTACCGAATTGCCACATGTTGGCGGTATGAAGTCATTTGTTTCATGTAACTCCGGTTAGACAGCTTTTTCCTTACACTATTTAATATGAAAAAGGCGTTTCTTTTTGATTGGATACTAGTCAGTAACTAGTGTAATGTGTCTAGTCCTGTCTTTGGTGTGAACTGAATTCTATTGATAAAGTTTGCAATGTGGCTATCACGGTGCACTGTGAATTGTTGGTATTAGATTGTTGGAGTCTGTCAGCAGTAAGCCTTGGACTAGTTCAGTGTGTAATGCAACTAGTGTCCAATCAACAGTATGTAATACAGTGTTACAGGAGGTCAATCGCGAGCCTGAATAGCTCAGTGCTAACGTCTCTGATCGCAACACTGGGTGACTTGGGTTCGAATCTCTGAAGGGACATGAGTTCCTTCAAGGTTGCAGATACGCCTTACTGACTGGTCAGTGCCAACTAGCACGAAATCTAGGTCAAGCAGGACTTTCTGTGGCCGATTGCCTGTAACCACCTTATACCAATGAAAAAGGCGTGTTTACATGGACTGCAGAAAAAAGTGATATGTTTCACTATTATTTATTGCGTTTCGTGGGGAGTAAGGTGGATATGTATTAAGAAAGAAAAAAATACAGTCTTATTCTACTCAACACACATTTACGTCCACTTTTACATTTAATGAGTGTTTCGAAGTCTGAGTAACACTTACATTACAAAGTTGTAACCCATGTATTCTTTCTCATCAAAGTCATCACTTGCGACAATTATAGGACAATAGAATTCGTGGTTACTTCAAACTTTTCTGTTGGATTGTCCATCTTCTGTTAACAGCTAACTAGTATTTAGCGTTTACCTTGAAGATAATTTTTGTATACTCAGTGAAGTAGAAGAATATTATTATTATTGTATTTTTGTTCCCTTGGGTTCCTAGTAGAACATAGGGCTTCAACTGCACGTCTCCACTTGTTTCTGTCTTCCGCTGTACTTTTCACCTGCATCCATGTTAGTCCATACTGTTTCAATTCCTCTTCACACGATCTCCTCCATTTCACCCTTGGACGTCCCACTCGAGGGCCTGACGTGCGATGTCACCCAGTGGCCTCCTCAACGAGTGTCCAATCCATCTCCACTTTCTCCCACATATTTGTTGAGCGATTGGTTCTTGTTTTGTTTGTTCCCATAGTTTCTTGTTGGTTCTTGCTCTTTACGGCCATCTGATCTTCAGTATAGAGCGAAGACAGTTGTTGATAAAGGTCTGCAACAGGCTGTTGGAAATATTCTTTGTGACCCGCCGCCAAGTTTCTGATCCGTATAGAAGAACTGACTGACTTGACGTTTGTATTGAAAATCCGAATTTTGTTGTTGATGCTGAGTGACGAAGATTTCCAGATTGGTTTCAGGTTGATGAATGTGTTTCTCGCCTTCCCGATTCTCGATTTAACATCCTCGTCCGTTCCTCCTGAAGTAGAAGAATAACTTTGTGATATTTAATAAAATCGTCAAAGTTCCATATTTGACAATCAACACCAGACGCATGCAATCGATATGCTGCGACACCTACCCCGGGATATAAGGCTATACAAAGCAAGTTAGCAAGTTGTGTTCGAAACATCATCTGATCCTCAGTACTGTATCAATGTGTTATCTCATATGGAATTGTATTCTGTTACAGTGCCCAGGTTTCTATAGTGTTTGGGTTGAAGATCCACAGGCGAAAACCAACAAGTTGAGAGAAGAAGCAGCAAAGACAGGACTTTGCGTGAATACACAGAGAAAACAAAGGTGATCTAGACACTTAATTATAACAATAAGCACCAATCACCATAAACGGGAGAAATTTGAGGGAGGTCACCACCTTCACTTATCAAGGCATCGTTTCAACTACAGGCGGTACAGATGATGTCAAAACCGCAATTGGAAAGTCAAGACAGACATTCATTACTCTGAAATTAGTTCAATACAGTAAGCATGAAGAACAGAATTAGGATTTTCAACACTAATGTCAAATAGGTGATTCTATATGGTTCTAAGACTTGGCTCACAAGTTGCCTAAAGCATTTCTAACAGGCTTCAGACTTTTATCAACAGCTGCCTTCACTCCATACTGAAGATCAAATGGTCGACCAGAAAGGATAAGCAGCGAGGAACTCTGGGAACGAATCAACCCAGAACCTATTGCCCAATAAATATACAGAAGGGAATGGGGATGGGTCAGACACATGTCAGGCAGACCGTTGAGTGACATCACGTGCTAGACTCAGGCTCTTGATTGGAAACGACGAATTGGATGTCTGAGAGTGACAGAGAGGAGATCATGTGAGTAGGAGATGATAACTTATAAGGAATCTTGAAGCCAACTAAGAAAGACAACAGAGAAAAGAGGAAATGAAAATGTGCTGTTGTGTAGCCCTATTTTGCACTCGGAACCTATGGGAATAATAATAATAAGAATACAGCGCCGAAATTCTACACTTATATGGAGTCGTGAAAGGAATATCTTTTAAAACTGTTCTGCGATTGTACAGAATTATTTTTATGACATGGTCGTTTCTTAATTTCACACTGAATCGTTGTGTTCAGATTTCATCACCGATGAGCTGAAATCGGTTAGAGAACTATTGGAAAGCCTGCAGGGAGTACTGGACAGCTGTTTCGTCCTGGTTTGGGACTCTCCATCAGCACACACCCACCGGGGTTCGAAACCAGGACCTTCTGGTTACAAGACGAGCTTGTGGACCATTAAGCCACTGGGACCCGGTCCAATGGCCAATGCATGAATTCCAAATTCTGCCAGTTCACGATATGGTGCAACCACTAGCCAATGTTTTCAGCGAGTAATTGTCCACACACCCAACCTGCTGCACCCTACCGGTCACTAGGACGAAACAGCTGTCCAGTACTCCCTGCAGGTTTTCCAATGGTTCTCTAACCTATGTCAGCTGATGATGAAATCCTCTAACCAATCAATCAAATCCCTACAAATCAATACTTGAATAACACATCGATCAGAAAATGTAGTACTCTACCTAGCAGGAATAGTAGTAGTAATGTGTGTGTTCTTTTATAACTTGTTTATACTGAACATAAAAGTACAATAATAATTAGAGCGAATAATTGTATTACAACAACAACTTCTTCAGTTATAAATCCACTTATTTTTTAACCTACAATAACCTGTAAAGGCAAATCGACATTACATATATACATATATATTGAGGTAAAAGTAAAAGTCTGTTGGTCTTGATTATCATTCAAATGCATATAAAATGTACAGTCAATCAGAACCACAAGATGAAAACCAGATTGAACAATTTTAAGTGACCTACTTGTGTATTTATAGTCAACAAAAATATTATAGTTTCCATAGGGTGAATTATATTTAAATGTTATGAGAGAAAATAACGAATACTACAAAATTATAAATAAATAAGCAAATGAGGTACACTGAATTTAAGTTCCAGAGACAACAAATAACACTAATAATGATAGAATAGTAATAATGATGTGGTGTAAACACATTGGTCATATTAAGTAGTAGAGACAGAGTAGGCTTACTGTCAATCCAAAGGATAACAAACAACAATAATAATAATAAATGATAATTCCATTGAAAAGGAGTGGGAAGGTCAAATAAGAGGTTGGTAAGGTATCGAAGGTCATGATAAGATTATTTGTCAAATCTATTCTTGTTTCTCCCGTTAATCGATTGTAATGGACCGAAATGTTCAATCTCTGCTGACATGTTGGCTCCTACTACGGAGACTTTGACGATATCTGATGTTATTTGGTAACTACTAGCAGTGGAGTTCAGGATGCGTATTTTGTCCTGTATGAGACTCGTCATCTGGGTGTACCTGCAATCTCCATTGAGTGATAATTTTCCCACGGAGACTTGAACCCACCCAACACCTATTATTCTCAACCCTAAAGCGTTATCACTAGTCCTAAATGGGAGGTAATGCACATTCTGGATTGCACTACCAGTCACCATCCACCGAAGGACATAAAAGAACTTGGAGGAAGAGATGATCACCTCCATACTGACGCTTTCTGTGGTGGGTCATATAGGTTGAGTGTAGAATGTATGTATCCCAATCGTGTAATAGTTGATCTTTTTATATTCCTGTTCATAGTTTTCTTAATAAAACGGCAAATAGCGTTTACAATTAGCCGAAAATGTGGATATAGGTGTCATAACCAACGTGTTTGTATTCAGTTATTTCACTTATTATTTTTTTTTTACTATCAATAGAATTCGATTAACGCTTATTAAATTATTTAATAATAACTTGTTTATTTACTAAAGTAAATATCTTTTATTTTGAAAAAAATATATATTTCTCTCCATTTAGTGGTAAACCATATCTGTTCTTCTTCGATTTGCAAAGTTGTCTCAAATTGGGTCCAGCTTTAGTTGTTACTGGATGTCCAACACCTCAGGTATTTGATTATCTCATAATTTTTGAAAAATTCCTTCCATTTATTTGATTATTATTACAGATTGACTTTTCATTATTTTCACTGAGAGATTATGAATATTCGACTAGTTTGGTTTCCATCAGCTTTTGTAATTGAATGCATTTCCTGTGAAAATATAGTTTAAGGCGATCTGTCTTATTTACTAAAAGGTCATATGCGTTGTAGAGTTTCTTGGACGACTGTGTTTCTCTGTATATCCTAATCAATATCATTTCGTTGCATCTTTATGAATTCATTTAAGGCAAGAACCTAGTCAAGTGAAGACACCTTTGAAGAATCTATTTAAATACTTGGAGTAAAGATGTCTAGTTACTTGGTGTTTACTTAGTGCTGTTGTGTTATGCAATGCTGCAGTAGAACATGTGGTCTATCTTTATTATCTGCTTTGTTAATACCCAAAATGCCTACTTATCAGATTTCACGAGGAGTCAGTCGAAAAGATGTTTCTGGGTGTGTAGGTGTAGGGCTAGTTGTTACTCTCCGTCAAAGTGTGTATTTTTAAGCTTAGGGTAAAGTCATATTTTGTTATTCATAACTGCGTCACTCAGTTCTGAAGTCCATGTGCATTATATGTGACCTTTGTTTTGGTACCTGTGTAAGTCTCACAGTTGTCAAAAGTGATATTGTGGCGTGTTCTACTGATAAGATTTGTCAGTAGTATATAAAGAGATGTTCATCGGCATAAAAACATCAAATAGCAGGGAGATAGATTTGATGATGTTAGAGAAAGCAAATGATACAGCGTTGCGGAGATACATAGGAGACGTGAAAGGAACACAAAGGGTAGAAGTAACACAACAGTGAAGATCTGTGCATACGGTGCTGCGTTGAAGATAAGGTGTACATAATTTCGCTATATATGGAGGTACCAAATTCCAAATAAACATTCCTTTGCCAAGCCTTTTGTCTTCTACCGCTATAATTGAGTTGGCAAACAACACTAAATGAGTCTTTCGTATGCTTGTTGAAGTTTCGTCAGGAATTACTTCATTAGGGGTTTGAGCAGTTAGGCTTCATCCTTCATATGGTAGGTATGGTTCATTGTAAAGTGCATATATATTTATATATGCTTATAAATGGTTGTTAAGTTACGCCTAATTTTTTTCATTTAAACATTTTACTCGTTATCTTTAAAGAAGGGGTTTCTTCAGGGCATATATGTAGCGACTTTTGACAGGAATGGATTACCTGTCAAGGAAAGCCAGATATTTGCTCAGTCTTCAATCCTAGGAAGTATATCGTATGTGTATTGTAACTTAACAAGTTTACTTCCTGACTAGGAAGTCAATCTGCGGAACGGTTAAGTCAAATAGTCACCTCTATTCAGTGCGTTTATAATAAAATAAAATAAAAAACTGACAGTAAGCATCTATAGCAAATACTTCTAGTTGTGTTCGTTTTTACATGACAACTTCCTTACAATAGAAACTTTGCTTGTTGCAGTCTTAATAGTTCGTGTTTCTAGGGTTTACCGCTCACTGTGGTTCTTCTGTTTAGAATTTGTTCAGACTTGCATGAAACACATTCTAGTTTCATATATTCACAGCAAAACTATGTCTATCCTCATTCTACTTGGAAAAAAGAACTTGAACTTAACAATTAGTGGTAGCGACCTTAGTCAATATTTCTTCTACAAATTTATTTTATATCCTCTAGTGCATCAGTGGTTCGGTGGTAGGATGCTGGCCAACTGAGCACGCTGTCCGCGGTTCGATTCCAGGCCGCTACACTCGTTAACCTGTCTTAGCCAGTAGTAAGCCCGGTAAAGAGGGGAGGTTGGTAGTGAGTCTAGCAACCTCGACCCCCTCCCCCTTGAAAAAAAACGTTGCTACTGAAACTCCCAAGGCTCAAGCTTAAGGCATTATGTTCCACTTGGAACGCATGGGAATTACATAAAAATAAATAGTAGTAGAGTGTAAGTGGTCAGGTTGCCGCATTTGTTTTGATACACAGTACTATCGTATTTGTGGCAGTGTTATATTTTCCAACTTAAGGGAGGGCTTTGAAAAATGCTACTAGGCGGCCAACTTAAAGCTTTAAGACAATTGTAAACACATGACGCTACCCCGATAGTTAAATGATGCCATTCATCTGAAATCTCTTTAACATTTAGTTGGTTTTTTTTTCAAACAACTAGTTACAATTTTTTCCTTTTTTCCTGTTATATGGATATGAATGTCGGCTATCATCAAGTGTGTAGTTGTTTATCTTTGCTCTCCTCCCCTCCTTCCCTGCCATAAACAGCTTTTTGTTTGTACTGATGCTTTTTTCAGCCGACTGGTATCGATTAGTCTCCGATGTAAATTAGGAATTTTTTCCTGATATAAATCATGAAAAAGTAGTTGAAGAGAGAGAGAATAATTTGCATTTTATTATAAGTATAAGCTTTAGGTGTTTTTTTTTTCGGCAAATGTTTTGTTAACCATTAGTATTCCACGGACCAAGCACTTCACACTTTTTATCTTTCTATATTTATTCAGGTCTGTGTAGAGTCATGTCCAGATTATTATTGGTCTTGGAGAGGATCTTATGATCCGCGGCCATTTAAAGCAACCAGAGATTTGATGATTTGCCTAGGCGGTGTCAATGCCAATGATCCAAAGTTTGCAAGCGAGGTAATCTTTTTTGTAACAATAAATTTATATATATCCCTTGTTTAAAATATGAATTTTTCCTAAACTATCCTTATGCAGGACTGTTCACGTTTGATATTATATTTTTTAATTATTCGTGTGGTTATAGAATTTCACTATCACAATTAATGTTAGTTTAACACCCTATTTGGAATCAGCTGTTTCATGACAGTATGAAGCTTATAAAAAATAAGAAACCCCAGGTAGTTGAATCCAGAGATTGTTTTTATTAAAAGAAATTCATTTACCTGTTGGACTGTATATGATAATATGGTTTTATTTTAGATAGTTAATTGCTATATTAAACAATAGGGATGTTAGCATTTATATTTGTAACTGATGATAATATCACCAGTATATATATTGTGGTAGTTTCAGATTTCCACTATTTTATTTTATTTTTATTTCTATTTTATTCCTGTACGTTCCCAGTGGAACATAGGGCTTCAAGCTAGAGGCTTGAAGTTTCAGTAGCAGTATTATTTATTATTTTTACGGGATGGAGTTGCTAGCCTTATGCCCAACCTTCCCTCTTTGTCAGTCTTATTACTGACATAGTGAGGTAGAGGAGTGCGTCGGTGGCCGAGGATCGAACCCCGAACCACATGAGGCGTGGTTGGCGGGCGTTCTACCGCTGCGCCACCCACTCACGATGCAGATTTCCACATCATTTCCCAATGTAAGACATCTTGTTAGCATTATTTTTTAGTGCAGTCATAAGTAACCTACTGATTTCATATTTCTAAAGGAACTAACTAAGGATTCTAGTTTGTGCTTAACGCGTTACTACCTTTATGTTATCAGGAGTCAGTTGGTGAAATGAATACTTCTTGACAGATGATATGGTTCTACAATCAAAAAGCCCTAAAACTGTGCAGTCGAAAAACCGTCGGGCTAATTAAATTAAGGATAAAGTTGTATCCCTGATGGGATAGATTTGGAATTCCACTAAGAAATCAATAGTACTCGGTGACGAAATCACATTTCCGTTTATATTATTATTATTATTAGGCTTCTCAATACAGTTCTAACTGGTAACGACATCTTTGTGCATTGAATCGGCAGTTCATTGGGTACTAACTGGTTCAACCTAGTTATCAAATTAATTTCCGTTTCGTTATCGTCAGGGCATGTTATTTTGGAAATCAGAGTAAGGCGTTTGTTTACATAAGTGACAGATTAGGCTTTAAACAGAATACTAGTCTATAAAGTGGTTGTCAGATTCAATGATTAAATAGTACTTATTAATAGGTCAGGTCATTTTTGACCAGATTATATGAAATATTTGTTATCAAGTGATGATAGAAGTTGAAAGGAAAGCCTTGGTCGCGGCGCGATTCGGTCATCAGATTTTGGCCAGGTGCTATGATAACTAAACTACTACACCTGGCCACTGACTACGTCTTTATTTTATTTGGATTATCAGCAGCTATCCAGCTATCGCGAATAAGAATGGAACTGTCTGTTCATCAACATAATTGTTGTTTAGTTGACAAAGTAGAAGTTTGTTCTCCATAAATGATTTATAAAATGCCTAATTCTAGCAAGTGGGACATATGGTCTCCAGTTTTGAGGTTTTATTGGCAGTTGTGGTGGTATTGTTCTTGCCGGATGGGGTCGCCAGCCTCACGCCCGACTTTCCCTCTTCTCCGGGCTTGCTATCAGCTGGTAACTTTGGCGCTAGGCTTGTGAGTGAGTGCATCGGTCGGAAATCGAACGTGACGAGCCAGGTGCCTGGTTGATATCTATGACATCTTCTTTCTTCCTGGAACAGTTGTACATGTTCCTTTAAATATCACCTTCAGAGAGTTCCAATGTTCTTCCACGCAAGTTACCTCAGTGATGCCACGTAGTGTGTCCGACTTTGCTCTGATCTGATCTGTAGCGAAGGCATCTCTTGTAGTTTTGTCCTTCAGTTTCTGAATGTTGAACCTTATTGTGGCCTCTCTCCAGTTGTTTTCAGGGATTTTAGCTTCACCTTGAAGGTTCCTTGGACTAGATTATGGTCTGAGCCCACATCTGCTCCCCTTCTCAACTTTGTGTTCAGCAGACTGGCTGCGTCTTGACTTTCTTGAGCAGCATTGAGATAAAATCTATCTGGTTTGTGGTGTGTCCGTAAGGCGAAATCCATGTTATTTGGTGCATATCTTTATACTTGTACACTCAGCCTTCGATCACCAAATCATTGAAAGCTCAGAAGTCTGCGAATAATTCTCCGTTCTCATTCATTTCTCCAAGTGGCAGCCTCTCGACCCATGATCAGTTGTCTATCTGCTCTCAGTTCGTCTGGCATTTATGTCGCCCATGAGGATCTTGATGACACCATTTTGGATGTTGTCCATTACTGTTTGTAGTTGTCTGTAAAAATCTTCCTTCTTCCGCGTTGTTTGTAGCATTGTGCGTAGCATTGGATAATTGTAACCTCACACCCTTCCTTTTGAGTTGAATCTTGCTATCATTATCCTGCAGGAGGAGATTGGTTCCCACTGCATTAGGGCTGTGGCTGCTACTGGTGACATCATGATAGCCACTTACTGCCTCGGTGTGCTTTGGCAGTTTGATGGCTTTTATGGTGTAGGGTTTGCTAACCCAACGCCCGACCCTCCCTGTTTACCCGGGCTTGGGCAGACTAGAAAACTAGCAAGCTAGTTAACTAGACCAGTTTATATATATATATATATATATATATAAGGAAAATTTTCTTTTATTCCAGAGTATCGAGCAACTGGTACAAGATCGAAAGTGTGCCCCATATGTATACCATTCCAAACCAGGTTAGTTCTTACATTCTGCCTTTTGTTTTGTTGTACAACATTTTGACTGTTGTTTTTAACTGCTCAGAAAAATGAAAGTGTTTTGAATATATCATAAGGGGATCATGAAATATAATGGTGAAGATTTATAACTCAGGTGGATGATTTTGATGTAGTTATGTTCTCTGAGCTGAATGGTTTATTTGCTTTTTTTACTGTAGCTTGACTCCACACACTATTATTAGTACACGAGTTTATAAATCGTCTTTCGTGGAGAAATCTAAAAGCTTACTTCAAATTAAAGTGCGCACTGAGTATATTGCCTAGTAGGGCAATGAAAGCTTCGCGAATAAACGATCCAGCTCATAGATGACCAGAAGGCAACTCAATAAGAAATCATCTTTAAGAAGCTGAACATTTGTACATTTACTCATAGGAAGTTCACTTATTGGATTTAATTTGATAAATAAAAATTCGGGGATAAGCTTGTCTGTCTCCTCCTGGTTAACTTACCTTCTAGAAACCCAACTTTGTGTGATTGTATACAAGTGTGGCGTGTACTACTGATCAGATTTTGTAAGTAGTTTATTACTTGTGATATCCTTTGCAGGAATATTGAATAACGTAGCGACGGATTGAATAGCAAAGAGGAGAATATGAAAGAAAGACAAAGGAAATAAATTCGGAGAACATTTACAGATGGAGATTTCAGTATTAAGGTTTCTGTATTTTGCTGTATCCGTTCATAGACGATCCCGCTGCCAAATAATACCGTGTTTTGCTGTTGCAATAAAGCACATGTATTGAGGTCGCCAAGATTGTTTTGTGGATTACTTATCTTGGTCTATCCTTCTAGATTCAACTAAACACCTATGTTTTGGAAACTTGATCAGTCCGGATGGAGTAATTTGACTTTATATGATAATCGGTAAATGTTTTAAGCCGTCACATGATTGTTGTGGCTGGAATTGTCAGGTCACCAGCGCTTTTGTTGTACATAAATGATAAAATTGCACTGTTTTTCAGCCACTCAACTTACTGTTGTTATATAGCGAAAATATGCATTCTGACATTTATAAAAAAACAAATTCATTGAGCAAAGAATATCCTTTTGGATAATTTCCTCTTCTGGCTCTACAATTATATATATATGTTTAAATACATAAAATATTCTAGAATTGTAGTCAACAACAATATGAGTGTTTTTTAAATAGTATCGATTTGTTAAGCAAGATCACAGTGGAATTACAGTTCATTGAAGATGCTTAAATAATAATAATAAATATGGTAGCAAATAGAATATCAACTAAAATTATGAAAATTCCACAAAAATTCAGGATCATTCAAACCTGGATGGCCAAGGTAAGGATAATGTCTGAACTAACTTCTTTTGGAGGCACAAATTAGGCTTCTTAACGTGGATCCCAACAGCCTCAGCAATATTTAGTAGTCGAACTCTTAAGGCAAAATTGAGATTTGTTGGTATGCGGTAAATGACCCTGAAAGCCTGGTTAACATCAATCTTGTTTATCAATCTGTATCCACAACATGAGATAAAATAGCGCTACGAATAGATTTTGTTTGTCCTTTACTTAACCACGCAGAGTGATGTTCGGAAATCCGACTAGAAGCATGCCTAATTGTACGGTCTATGCAACTAACTGGCTCCACAGGAGCAGTTAAATTGGTAGATACACATGAAATAGGCGAAAATAGGCAGTTCATCTTTTACTCGCGTACGCCAAATAGGGGTGGTTTTGAACACAAGCGTAATTCAGCAGCAGAGAATGCTCTTTTTACCGCATTTCTAAGGCGTTGTGTTAGTATCTCGCCGACGTTGTCCCCGAGGAACTGAATGTGTAGGAATAAGGCCTTTTTAGGAACTGTTTGTACCTTGGGCTGCCTTGATTTTAGGTTAATATTCTTATCAATGAACTTTTCTGGATAACCATTTTCACTTAGCAACCGTTTAATATTATTAAGTTCCTCATCAAGACATTCATCCGAGCAGATTGCTGTTGCTCTGTGAACCAAGCACTTTATTAGATTTCGTTTGTATTTCAAGGGCACGAAGTTGAAAAATGAGTATACTGACCAATTGATGTAGGTTTTCTATATACAACTCTTCTTATTGTGCCATCCTCTTTTGTGGTCATAAAGACATCTAGAAATGAAATTCTAGAATCTTTTTCTTTCTCAATAGTAAAATTTATTGTTGGATGAACCTTGTTAAATTTACCCAGGATGTTCTTTGCTTCATCTTCATTTTTCATAATAAAAAATGTATCATCCGTGTACCGACAATAGAATTCAAGTTCATCAGTAACATCTTTCAAAAGCCCATTTTCAAGTTTCTCAAGGAAAATGTCGGCTAGAATGGGTCCTAGTGATCAACCCCATTGTCACACCATCTATTTGTCTGTATAGTTCCTTATTAAATAAAAACTGGACATACATTGTACATTTCAAGAGAAGCTCTTTTATAAAAGATATAGGAATGCCAGAATCGATGTCTCGTCTAGAATATTCTATGTATCTAAACATATGTATATATACAATTGTAGAGCCAAAAGAGGAAATTATTGAAAAGGATATTCTTTGCTCAGTTGTTTTGTTTTTTATTGTTGTTAAAGAAAATTTTTGGAAACAGACTCCCGATGAAGTAGCAGAAGTCAGCAGGACCGAATGTTGTTCCTACAGATGCTCTTAACATTTTGTACAGCTGATTTTTTTTGGAGGAATGTAATAGTAATAATAATAGTTGTTCTCCTATTTGTTAACCTCTGTTTTTACCTCATTAAAGTGCTCGGTCGGTGCATGCCTAGTCAATTGTCTCGATTACTCAAAAATGGTACTGGTGAAGTTCGTGGTGATAGTGCTAAACGTATGACCTTATTGAATGCAAACGATGAAGTGGTGACTGGTGTCGATATGGTGAAAAGTCGAAAGTAAGCATGTTTTTTTTAAAAAAAATTAAAGATTTGATATGATTTGCTGATATAAGGATAAAACTTGGACAACTGTGGTAGAGAGTATAATTCCATTATGGATAAAAATTTATTTTGATAATGTCGCACAGTAATATTTACTGATGACAACGTGTTTCGAGCACAATTTATTACCACTCATAATCATTGTTAAGGTACTCACACAATTTCCTCGCTTCATTTAAATACATGAGTCATGTATACACTCATTTTGAGTTGTCTTTTAGTGATTACACAATGTAACACTTCTATTGATTTCATAGTTTTGTTTTCTGAAATGCACACACTCTTACTTTGTACTTAGTTGAGTGTGCGGTGAATAATTTGCAAATACTTGTAACTCATTTATTGTAAAACTCACTTCATAATTACTCTGCTATAACGTCAATCCTTTAATTATTCAGTTATCTACGATAATAGTTGCACAGCTGAGTGACTGATAATATAATATTGTTTTCTAATCGTCGGTGGCATAGCGGTCAGGACGCTCGCCGACCATGCACATGGTCTGGGGTTCGATCCCCGGCCGACGCACTCCTTTACCTCACTAAGCCAGAAATAATGCTGGTGAAGAGGAAAGGTTTGGCATGAGGCTAGCAACCCCATCCTGTAAAAATAAACACTGCTACAGAAACTTCAGGCCACTAGCTTGAAGCCCTATGTTCCACTGGGGAACGTGAAGGAAAAAAAATCTAATCGAATTAAGAAGTAATGGCGAAGTTAAGCTTTACGCACCACTAACTGCTATTCTCAGCGAATAACCTCTTGCTTACCAATCACGTGAAAGAGGCATTTTTGTTCATTTGAATACATATATTTATGAAAAAGATGCCTACAAACTGTAGAAAAGTGTTACAGAGGATATCTTCCTCTCATATGTAATAAAAATAGCTCTCAGTTTTAGGTTGGAGTATCAACAGAGTATAAATTCCATTGTGGGTAAAATTTACTTTGATAAAGTTTCATAGTGTTATACAGTAATCTTCAAGCATTGGTTTTGTAGGGATTTTGTTTGATTGCATAGGGGATTTCATCATGAGCTGACATCAGTTAGAGAACCACTGGAAAACCTGGGAGTACTGGACAGCTGTTTCCTCCGTCCTAGTTTGGGACTCTTCAGCAGTACACACCCACCGAGATTCGAACCCAGGACCTTCTGGTTACAAGGCGAGCTCGTAGACCATTGAGCCACTGGGATCCGATCCAATGATCGTTGAATTCTAACTTCTGCCAATTTACGACATAGCGCGATCATTTCGCAATGTCTTCTTCGATGAATTCAAGGATCATTGGATCGGGTCCCAGCGGTTCAATGGTCTACGAGCTCGCCTTGCAACCAGAAGGTCCTGGGTTCGAATCTCGGTGGGTGTGTACTGCTGAAGAGTCCCAAACTAGGACGGAGGAAACAGCTGTCCAGTACTCCCAGGTTTTCCAGTGGTTCTCTAACTGATGTCAGCTCATGATGAAATCTTCCATGCAATTTTACAGTAATGTTTACTGAGCAATAAATTGTGCTCAAAACTTGGTCATAAGTAAATATTACTGTATGACACTGAGATTTTATCAAAATAAATTTTACCCACAATAGAATTATACTCGACCACAGTGCACAAGTTCTATTCTAATATCAACAGCTTAATTTAACCACATTCTATACATGTAATTATCTAGGTCTTCTAACGCTAACAATAATCCGAATCTTTTCTGAACCTAACCCTAACGTAAAAAAATCTCTAAACTAACTGTAATCTAACTCGAACCAATCCTATTGTCGTGTTTATTAGGTTAACGTGTAGCACTAACCTGTCCTTTGCTTAAACCGTAACTTAATCTTTCCCAAACCTAAGCTGAAACTTGCCAGATATCCATTTAATAAAATAACACTTCGGTGAGCATATTTTATTGATGATGACAACTTACTCAGTAAGCGTTTCAAGGTCATTGGTGTGGTCGCACTCCATTGGTAGTAGTTCGTGGTGCTTAAAGCCTAACTTGCCTGAAGTAACTTCCACACTTAGTGTACTAGCTAGAACTTGTAGACCAAAATAGCTCAAGAATAAAAAGTATATTAGCAGTAGCAATTAGAAGTAGTAATTTCGGATTATCACGATAATCAAGATACACATATCCAGTCAGCAAACAGTATGAAGATTCATCATCATTAGAAACATTTATTTCCCGATACGAATTTAAAACAAGCAATAAAGGTTAATAAGGCAGGATTTAATGAATTCATCAAATTTCGGTAGAACTCGTCATCTGAATACTCTACATACACGGATATATACTTTTGAAGTTATATTGGGAGATATAGGACTGATAAGTAAATAAACTACATTGAATTAGTCATGCAGAAAGACAGGTGCGAATGTTTTTCCAATTAGATAAGGGGAGAGAGAGTATGGGAGATCAAAATTAAGATAAATTGCATTACGCTTCAATTACATCACTTAGATAAACAATTAGACGTTAGAGAATTTAACAAGAATTGCAACCAGAGGGATGTCAACAGTAATAGTTATAATAACAATAATAATAATAGTGTTGAAGTGAGTTAAGATAATGCTACTGATAAAGGATAGTTGTAAATGAATCATGAATAATAATAGTAATAATAAAATAATAATAAGAGGTAGAATTATAAGTGAAACGTATTACCATGGTAGATTCAGAGTCACGACCATCTCCTTTTGTACACAGAGACCTGGTTTGTAAACTCGAATTGCACAAGCCTCTGCAATTGCAAGCATCTTCTTGTTTCTTTGTCTGCTGACAGTGGTGAATGACTTGACTGCCCGTAATCCACAAGATGCTTTGTTATTGAGGATTTTGGCACTTTGAACTCAGTTGTTTTCATCATTTTCATCATCATTAGATTAGATGTTTGCCAAGTAAATGCAGATAGCTTTGTTTGAAGATTAGAATTAGACATTGTCACTCAAATATAAGACTAACCAATAGAATTAGGATGATACATTTCATTATCACATGTATTTGATACATACTAGATTAAAAAGCAAATAAACAAGACGGTATGATTCATCAATTACATTAAATACATCAAATTTATTACTCTTGTATAAACATTTCTAAAGCAGCACAACTTTATTGAAGTAGTATAGAGAAGAAGAATGTTATTGATATAGTTGTGTTGTTTTATCTATCTGAGGTGATTGATTTAGTTGAAGAGGTGGTTTCATTATCTTTGTGTTAATTTGTACTTCAAAATAAAAGTCAAGTTAGTCTAACTTAGTTGGTTTCAAGTGAATAGTATAAAACTTAGTCATATCTCAGTTGATGATGTACAAACAGGAGAATGGTCGTAATTCATTTGTCAATATACTATGAATTTTTAGTCCTATGTGTCGTTTCTGCAGAGGTAACATATACATATACGTTGAGGTAGAAGACTGCCGCACCTTTTTGAACACATGCTTAAACTCCAATCACGCCCTGGTTCACGCACGTTTGTGCCTACAATTAAATGGACATAAAAAACAGTTGGCAACGAAGCAGTTATGTCCCCAACTTGATCAGGACACTGAGTTCCTATTTAAGGAATAAAAGGCTAAAGCGTATCTGAAATTGACAGCAAGGCCTCTACTGAGGAAACCTGGCACAACATACAGTTAGCTGTAGACACAGCTGTAAAGGCTGTTAATAGATCTAAAACCAAAAGTTAGTAAAAGCAAGTGGATTTCTACTAACTCATCCGAACTGATTAACGCAAGAAGACTGATTCTGGCGAGCTCCGAATATCATGAGGAGTGAAAGCTGCTCAAACGCAAACTAACGAGAAGTCTTCGCTGTTAAACATGGCCATTGAAAGTGGAAGACATGAAACAGCTAGCTCTCTTTGATCATATGTGCCTGCGTTCTATCTCCCGTGTTAAGTGGTATAATAGGATGCGCAATATTGAGGTTAGGCATCGAGTGCTAGGTAGGTGAGGGGAGGGGGAAGAAATCAATCGACGAGGTTGTGAAGTTACACCTATTGAGTTGGTTAGGCCATGTGTTGCGTATGCCTAGCCAACGATCGCCTTCCTCGACGGGCAATGTTAGCTGACATAGGATATGGATCAGGTTGGAAAGGAGTTAGCTAGTGGTGGTCAAACGAAACATAGCTTCATCAGTCAATGAAATCCACAACAGTTAGTTTGAGCCAGTCAGCCAGCCACCTAGGGAAGTGTAGACTTCTAGGCTGTTTGGGGTCCTCAGAATGGTAAAAACCAATGGCGTCTGGAGATAATCGGTGATATGGCTCAAAATCGTTCTCAGTGATGGCGCAGATTGCATTCACTGTTTGTGATTTGTCATATCGAATAAAATTCTATTGTTCTTCTATATTACTATTCTTTTTGCCTCATATCTCTGTTTATTATCTCCCTTTTGAATCTCTGTTTACTCTCTCCTGTTGCTTTGTGTGGTACATGGTGGGAGTGTGGCAACTCGAAGTGCTGCACATCTGTGCAAAGTTCTATGTTGAAGCTAGTCAGTCAGTCTTAGGTCGAAACAAATTGTGGTTTTTAAATTGTAGATTTATGTATGCACTAACTATTGATCTGACGAGTCGTTTAGCAGAATGCACGCACTCTAATTGGGTGTGCAGGAAAAACTAGAACGCGAAAGTATCTACAATGCGAATCAGTTTCTGTGGTACAAATACACTCATGCATAGTTATCGCTAATCTCATTAACATATATGCTTATTGTTTTATTCTCATTTTTGTGACTTATACTTGTATAAAACTCTGCGGTTTTTATCTTGTTGACCTGACCTGCGCTCCACAATTATTTCTGACCCCCCACCCCCGTGCATTGCTAATAAATGCGTCGTTGTATTTCGGCGAATCAGTCTTGTAAGTGTAAGAGGAGAAGGTATACAGCTGTAATAAAATATTCAAATTCTCTTATTCAATCATGAAAATATTTGCATATCAATAAAAAAAAGAATTTTCTCT